TAAGCACACTGCTGGCCGGCAACATTTTCAAAGAGCTTCCAGAATTGTGGCATCACAACCCTACATACATCTCCCATACCCTGTAGACATTTCCTGCAGCATTGGTTACAGTCTGAGCTTACTGTCGTGACTTACCTACTCTCACTCTGCCTACTAGTGATTGATGGCCTGGATTTGCTGAAGAAGGAACAGCCAGGGGCCCGGGATGGGATCCGGTACCTGGAGGCAGAGTTCAAAAAAGGAAACAGGTGAGAGCCCAGGTCTGGCTGGAACCTTTGTGCAGCCTGGGTTCATTATCTAGATGTGCTCAGGAGCTCTTTGCTCCCTGGAAGTGCAGCCGGTGATCTTGTTCACCATTGCTATGCCACTTTGGGAGACCTCAGCTGCTGAGACAGGAAGTGTAGAAGAGCTGCGCCCTCAAATCAGGGCCACCACCCTGCATCTCTGAGGCAGACTCTGGACAGCATCTGCTGGGAGACAGCAGTTGGGTCATAGCTCCAGGCTGTGGCTCCTTTGAAGGAGCTGTCATGCTTCAGCTGGGACTCAGGAGCAGACTTCCTATTTGCCCATTCAGGAGGCTGTTGAAGCCACCCAGGGAGAAACTGGAGCTTAGCCCAGGCCCCACCCTTCTAGCCTTTGGGGCTAAGGGAGCAAGAGAGGAGAGCTCTCCCCCTCTACACTGCCTCTGACTTGCTTGGCCAGGAAGCTACACAAGGCTTGCTTGTTTGGAGGTCACCCCCAGAAGCTCTGGCTTGAAAGCATCTACTTCTACTGCCTTCCCAGCTCCTCCCCTGGGAAAAACCAGAAACTCGATGCTATCAGTAGCGAAAGCCAACCTGGCATCCTAGAAACAGCCTGATGGGAGGGACATGGCTGCCCTGTCTCCTGACACGCCCTGTCCAGCCACAATAGCCTGCTTTGTGTGACACATCCCCCCTGTCCCCTCTCCCCACCCCTGTGGTCTCCTTTGCAGATACATTCGCTGCCAGAAGGAGGTGGGAAGGAGCTTTGAGCGACATAAACTGAAGAGGCAGGATGCAGATGCCTGGTAAAGTGCAGCCCTCTCCCCTAGAGCCTGTCAGGAGCTGACTCTGCTAGCCCCTCTGTGAACTCTCCCCTACCCTTGGAGCAGGATGGACCGCATAATCTACCCAGGGCCCTCCCATAATTTCAAAGCTACTTTAGCCCAGAGATGCCTGGGCTCAACATGTTGTCTACATCTCCTGGCACATAACTCCAGGGCCAGCTTCTAGGACCCACTGCTGCCAGCTGCCTGTTTCCTCTTGTTTCCTGGCGCTCTCCCAGTCTCTAGCTTGCCCTGTCCCCCGGAGATTTTTATGTTCAGATTATGGTCATGCCTAGTCTTGTTCCCTTTACTCCACATTCTCAGGACTCTCTATAAGATTCTGGACAGCTGCAGACAGCTAACCCTGGCCCAAGGAGCAGGGGAGGAGGACCCAAGTGGCATGGTGACCATCATCACAGGTCTTCATTTGGACAACCCCAGTGCGCTCTCTGGGCCCATGCAGGTGGGTCACGGGTGAGGTGGGGAGTGCCGTCTCTAAGGGGTCTTAGAGATGAGTCATCTTGAGACCCCTCCCCCCAGACAAGCTGCCCTTTTCCTGCCATTACCCCTTCCCCAGCCCCACTACTTCAGGTTAGGCCCTCCCTCATCTTCCGTCCTCCATCTTCCTTCCACAGGCTGCCCTGCAAGCTGCTGCCCATGCCAGTGTGGATGTCAAGAATGTTCTGGAGTTCTACAGGCAGTGGAAGGAGATTGGTTGAGACTGGCCCGTAGGCCTTCCAGATTTCTCCTGTTCTCCCTGGCAACCAGGACTACCACCTGTAGTCACCCCATCACATGCAGACTCAAGCACGCAAACAGGAAGGATGGCCAGCTGCACTGAGGCTGCAGGGAGGGCCCAGGAGCCAGCTGGGAGGATGGGGGGCCCCTGTTGCCAAGGCGAAATCAGGAAAGTGAGGAAGTGCTTGGAGTGGGAGTGGCTTGTGGACCCCTGGCCAACCTTCCACCTAACCCCTCTGCTGTCCCCAGGGAGAGGGGCAGAGGCAGGCATGGGTGTCTGCATTTCACTGGAGCAGTTCCTGGACTTCTGAGAGGAAAGCACACCAGAGGGCCCTGTCCTCACCCAAGATACAGGGTGGGTGGGGCTGGGAGTTTGAGCCCCTGGCTCTCGGGGAAGAGTTGGGAGATACTGTCTGCATGATTCTCTGCAGACCCTGTCCATCCTCAAGGAGCTCCTTCCATGGGGACAGGGCAGCTCTGGAGCCAGCTGTGGTGGCTGTTAGGGAAGCAGGGCCTGAGATGTCCTACGTCACAGAGCAGGGGCCGCACGCTCCCTTTCTGCTGCCGCCCAGCTTCCAGGCCCAGTCAGAGTGTGGACTGGCCTGCTCTCTGCCAACAGTCATCCCTTCCCCGGCAGTTCTCAGTCACCGTGCTCTGTGCTCCTGGCTGCTGGCCGGAATAGGGTGCCAATGAGGGAGGGAAGGCCAAGGCCCCCTCTCCCCACCCTGGGAGGTCTGGAGGAAGGGTGGCAGAGAGGCAAGATCCCGGGAGCTGTTTGCCCAGGGCACTCTGCCCTGAGCTGCCCTCCTTTCGCCTGCCCCCAGGACTAGAGCCTGGTGGGCTGAGCACGGGCCGGCTTTGGAGTGGCGAGTGACACAGGAGCAGAGATCATGACTAGCTCGGGGGCAGAGTGGCACCGAGAGCAGAGAGCTGTGGGGAGGCTCTGACCATGGTTACCCCAGTTCTAGCCCTAGCCTAGAAGCGGAGCGCAGCTGGGGCTGGGTTCTTTTCTGCTTCCCCCTCCTTATCCCAACTGGCCTAGCTGCTTTGCCTGTGCTTAGAGGAGCTGGCTTCCTGCCTTCCACTAAGACAGAGGATCTGGGAAAACCAGGGGCCGGTTGGGGTTATCCCATTTCCAATTCTGGCAGAGACTTGAGACTTAAGCATCACTTAATAAAGACCCCCTTCCCCAATCCCACTCTGTCTGCTGTGCCTTCTGTACATGATCCTTGGTGGGGTGGTGGGGGGAACCTCGTGTGTTAGAAAACGATATGCCTTTTCAGTGAGAAATCACTCTGTACACTTTGGAAAAAAGGAAGTCTCTTAAGCACCCAGCCATCTGAGACTGAGGCCCAAATAAGAGTACCTGTTGTGGATAGAGAGATGGCTTAGTGGCTAAGAACACTTGTTTCTTGCAGAGGGCCTGAGTTCAAGTCCTAGCTCTCACATGGTGGTTCACAGCCATCCGTAACTCCAGTTCCAGGGGATCTGATTTCCTCTTCCACTTCAGACTTCCACAGGCATCAGGCACATGGTATGGATTCATCCAGACAAAACACTCTGAAACACATAAAATTGACCTTGAACAGATTTTACTGACATTTATATGCCACAAACGCTGTCATCCTTAAATTTCAGGCCCTAGCCCCAGGTTGCACTTAATTTTTTTTTCTTTAAACAACAGTTTCCTCAAGTTCAGGCTAGTGCTGAAGACCTATTTAATATATATAGTATTCTGCCTTATATTTATGCTTGCATAGGCACCAGATCTCATTATAGATGGTGTGAGCAACCATGTAGCTGCTGGGAATTGAACTCAGGACCTCTGGAAGAGCAGCCAGTGCTCTTAACCTCTGAGCCATCTCTCCAGCACAGTTGCACTTAAACAGGAACAGGAGACTGCAAGTCTAACCATTTAAGCAGATTTGCACAGCAAAGATATTGCCAGAATTTAAATACATAGGTGGTTAGGCTTCGGTTTTTTGAGACAGGGTTTCTCTGCATACCCCTGGCTGTTCTGGAACTTGATTTGTAGACCAAGCTGGTCTCAAATTCAGAGATCCCTACCTGCCTTTGCTTCCCAAACAATTAAATTAAAGGCATACACCACTATACCTGGGCAGTGTTGTGTTTTTGTTTTAGAGTAATTGCCCAGGGTCTTGGCCATTTGGCAGAATTACATTTTTCCTGACAAGAGCAAAGAAGACTTGATGGCAGACCTGGACTTAATGAGCCTACATTGCCCTAAACCTTGTAAGAGATTTGCCTTTGGTTGGCCGTAAGTCCCTGTCTCCTTGGTAGACCAGGCATGGTTAGTCCTCTTGATGAGTACTCATTTACACTTGTATCCACTCCTCTAACAGACCTGGTTAGAATACTACCTACCTTTGGGGTAATTTGAAGGCAGTTCTTTTTTAGCTAAATTACATTCATGTGACTTGATGTCTCCTAAGCGAACCTGTTAGTCCTTTCTAGCATTAATTCTATCTCTGAGTTTCTTCCACACCAATACCACTGACCTGGATCACTAGTACCTGTGGTTTAGAGAGTTTCAGGAAACGCAAGTAGGCTTCCAAATTGTTATGTAACTAGCCTGGCCTTGGACTTTGGTGGTTCTTTCCATCTCTGAGACTGAGATCACAGGAAGCTGATCACCATTCCTGATTTACAGAACAGTGTTTGATGAAATCTACCTGAGCCTAGTTTGATGTCCCTAGCTGGCTGGTATCCTCCAGGAGGAATAAGGGATGAGGCTTTATACCTACCCTCCTGGGTTGGCAACTCAAAGATCGTGTCTGGGTAAACCAGATTGTCGTGTCCTTTCCCGGTGGGCCAACATTCATCAAGGGCAAAGCAGGAATGACTTATGAGATGCTGCTGAAATTGGTTTTGGAGCCTCCTGCCTAGCAACCTCAGATCCTGGGAGACTTGGACCAGGTGTTCTGGTCAGAGATTAGACCCCAGCTTGGGCCCCTCGCCTGGTCAAGACAGCACAGTAAAGTGGGCCCAGACACGCTGAAGGCCTGGCGGTGTGTAAGAAGCCAAGTGAGCTGCCTGCTAATGGGCCTGGGCCACCCCGTGCTACTCCAAGGCTGGCAGACAAGGCTAAGATTGTTCCCCAGCTTCTCTCTGTCTCTCCCATTCTGCCGGGCCTGGCCCACATCCCCAGCCACTCTTCTCCCTGTCAATCTGACCAGCAGGAACCCGAGACTGCCTGTGGAGTCAACCTAGCTGGTAGCGTGGTTAATCTTTGGGATAAGGCAGCTCACATCTGAGAAAAGGGAGATCAAGCATCGGCCCAGCCTCGCATTCCTTACTGCTGCAGAGATCTCCAGACCCTATTGCCTAGGGCTGAAGGACCCCTCCCAATATCATCTCAGCCCATCCCAGGGGAGCGGGGTAGCAGTCGGGACAGGCTCCTCTCCTACGTCGCTTCTTCACTTGGGATGAAGAGTCTGGGGACCAGGTTTGTGTTGTCAAACTGGGCAAGATCCTCAGCACCGAGCTCAGAGAACCGACTAAATAGATCGCTGCAACACTCAGGGACGGGCGGGGCTGGCGGCGGGAAGAGAGGGTGGAGTTGCTGAGAAGTTTTAGCCTGGGGCAGGAGGAAGGGTCCTATCAGTCTGGGTCAGTGGCCCCGCCCACTGCATTAGTCCCGCCCCCGCCGGTGCCAAGGAATGTGCTGGGCGAGGCCGCAGAGAGGCGGGCGGGGCAAGCGGAGCCGAGGCCACCCGGACGCAGCGCACAGGTCTGGGCTGAGGGGCATGGGACCCAGGAGGGGCAGGGGTCACAGATGCCTCTAAGGGCGCTAGTGGTGTCCTTCGAGAAGAGGAGAGCACCTCCTAATTCCTTGTCCTTCTTAAGCAATTTCTCCGAGGACACTAATTTTGTGTGTGGAGGTCTCCGTCCCCCGGGGGAGGGGGCGACTCCTGAAGTCAGGGTTCTGGTTGAGGGACAAACCGGTTCCCAACAGGAGGCAGCCTAGCTGCTGGGGTTCCCTTACTGCACTCCGGCAGAGGCTGAGGATCTCTCCTGCAGGACTGGATGCCCCAGGCTAGGGCCAGGCGGGAAAGGGGAAACAGTTGTGGCCAGCACTGTGTGAGAGAGAGTTCATCCTGGGCTCAGTGGCTGAGTCTACCCTGAATCTGGCAGCAGGAACCCTATGTATGTATGGGTGCCAATTCCTGACCCGCCCGTTCTGTCTCCAGGTCAACGTGGAGGTACCTGGCCACTATGCTCAGTCTCAAGCTGCCTCAACTTCTTCGAGTCCACCAGGTCCCCCGGGTGAGGGGCCCCAACCCATCAACCTTGCCCCTCCCCAGAGGACTCATGGGGCAGAGATTTTTCTCTTGTTAGCTACTAGGGAAGTTTCTCCTGCAAGCTAACTTTCTTGTTTTTCTATTGCAATATAGAACCTACTATCCCTCCCCAAAGGCCCAAATATCCCTCCATCCAGAGTCCCCCTTCTGGGTGTGTCTCCCCCCCCTTCTATCTGATCCCAGTATGGTTCTGTGGGGGAAGACAGGGGTTGGACTAAGTGTGACTTGGGACCACTGTGATCTCCAGCGCATCTCCTGTCCTGTTTCCAGACACCTTTGCTTTTATATTTCTAGACAGGGCTTCTCTGTGTAGTCCTGGCTGCTCTGGAGCTCACTCTGTAGACCAGGCTGGCCTTGAACGCAGAGATCCAGCCTGTCCCTGCTCCTGAGTGCTGAGGTTAAAGGCGTGCCCGTGCTACCAGACACTTTTCATGCAGAAAGCCCTGCATACCATGACTCCTCTGCTCCCCGCCCCCAGGTGTTCTGGGAAGACAGCATCATGTCTGGCTATCGTCGCCCCACAAGCTCTGCCTTAGACTGTGTCCTCAGCTCCTTCCAGATGACCAATGAGACGGTCAACATCTGGACTCACTTCCTGCCAACCTGGTGAGCGAAGGCTCTGCCTTAGGTTCAGATGGGGTGCCAGGCGGGCGGGGACTGGCCAGGCACTCCCGCCACAGCGTCTGAGCAGGTGCCCGGCGCAGGTACTTCCTGTGGCGCCTCCTGGCGTTGGGCAGCCCAGGATTCCGCGCGGAGCCGTACCACCTGCCGTTGCTGGTCTTCCTGCTGCCCGCCTGCCTCTACCCCTTCGCATCCTGCTGCGCGCACACTTTTAGCTCCATGTCGCCCCGTGCGCGCCACATCTGCTACTTCCTGGACTACGGGGCGCTCAGTCTCTACAGCCTGGGTGAGCTGAGGGCCGAGGGTGACGGTGGGGCGCAGAGGGCGAGCCCACAGGCCTCAGCTCGCACCTCGCCGCAGGCTGCGCCTTCCCCTATGCCGCCTACTCCATGCCGGCCTCCTGGCTACACAGCCGCCTGCACCAGTTCTTCGTGCCCACCGCTGCGCTCAACTCCTTCCTGTGCACCGGCCTCTCCTGCTACTCGCGGTGGGTTCTGGGCCTCCCCAGTGTGGGCAAGGGTAGGCAGGCAGGGCTGGCGGTCAGGGTTACTACATAGCTCTTGAGTCACCCAGTACCCTACCCTGTAGGAGGCCTTACTATTGGCCAGTGTGCCAATATCCTTTATGGCCACTTAACAGATGTGGCTTTTACACGGGGCCAGGATCCTGTATCCTGAGGGCCTTCCCTTTTCTTTTTTATTTCATGTATTTATTGTGTGTTTACCATATCTGCCGAGCTCCTCACCAGCCCCTATTCCTTCCCTCCTCTTCTTTCATTTTATTCTTTTACCTTTTTTTAAAACCAGGCTGACCAAAAAGATTCCCCCCCCCCCGCCTCCCAGTGCTGGGACTAAAGGCCAGCACCACCACGACCCTGAGACGGGGTCTTGAACTATATGGCCTCTACCTCCCGATGCTGGGTTTACAGGCATGCCTCAGCACACCTGCTTCCTGATGCTGTCTTAGCCACTGAGGTCAACTTCCTGACCTGCGCTCACCCCAGGGATGGAGATCAACCTTTTCTTGCCCTTCAGGTTCCCAGAGCTAGAAAGCCCCAGGTTCAGCAAGGCCCTCCGCACGGCCGCCTTTGCCTACCCCTTCCTGTTTGACAACCTCCCGCTCTTCTACAGGGTAAGGGCTCTCCTCAGACCCTGTTCTGCCTGCCGTCTTGAGCTCATGGTGTTCCTCAGTCTCTAGCCTCAGCTCTCTGCCTGCTCTCCAGGCGCAGGACCCTGGCGCCCAGCTCCCTAGCACCCCTGCCCCCCACCAGACCTTAGCCGCACCCCTTGCTTTGTCTCCCAGGGACGCTCCCAGACAGCTCTCTTTTCTTTTGCCAGCTGCAGCTGTGCTGGGGCGGGGCCCACAGCTGTGGGCAGGAGGCGCTGAGCCCCAGCCACGCCCACCACCTCCTCTGTGCTCTGCTCACTGGCTTCCTTTTTGCAGCCCGTCTGCCGGAGCGCCTGGCACCCGGGCGCTTCGACTACATTGGTGAGCACAGGCCTGGCTCAGGCTGGCCTGGCAGAGCAGGGGGATTGCTCCCCCACGTGCACAGGATCAAGTGGGAACGTGGGGTATCCTGCCCTGAGGGTGGATGATGAAGCCAAGAGGGATATCCAAGCCCCTCCCAGCCCCCAGTAATCACGGAATTTAGGGCTTTATGCAACTCAGTCCAGTCGCACTTCCAGAACTTTCAGGGGTCTGGTTTCCTCCTTCCCAGGCCCGACGGATAGGTGACAGCCCCGGGTTACAGGTGGATCTGTCCAGAACTGGATGGGTCTCTGCCTGACCAGTCCACCCTCCCTTCAGGCCACAGCCACCAGCTGTTCCACATCTGTGCCGTGTTGGGCACCCACTTCCAGCTGGAGGCGGTGCTGGCTGACATGGGATCCCGCAGAGCCTGGCTGGCCATGCCAGAGCCCACCCTCGGCCTGCAGGCCACCATGGCCACATTGAGCCTGGCCGTGATCGGGAACCTGCTCATCATCGCGGCTTTCACGGCCTCTCTGCTGCGGACCCCTGGAACCTGCCCTCTGCTGCAGGGTGGCCTGCCAGAAGAGGGACTCCAGGCTAAACAACAGTGAGGCCCGTCCCTGGTACTGGCATGGATGGAGGCAGAGGCCAGGGTCATGCTGTGGAGGAGCCCTGACAGGTCCGAGAAGGCAAAGGCTGTTCTGAGTCTCAAAGGAGTGGCTGAAGGGAAGAGGAAGTAGTCTAGGTAGGACAGAGGACCCAAGAGGCGAGTAACGGAAGCCAGTAAGTGGAGACAAGCACCCAAGCCGCAGCAGAGTTGAAGGTGTGGGGCCTCTCACGTGGCCTTCGCTCTGCTGCTCTGGAGTCTGCTCAGCTCAGGTCTTCCTGAGTGCTTGTGGGCTATCCGGACCACCCATCCGCCCTGCCCCAGGGGTCAGCAACTGTGTGTCCACACATGAGCTGCCGGTCCTGCTCACCATTGTGACGGGGCCTTTGCCGGTTCCTGTTTGGACGTGTCCTAGGTGATGTAATGGATGTGGTGGGGGTCACTGTGGGGAGGGGGCTGCTGGACTTTAGGGAGCGGTCTCTAGTACTACCCATAACAAAGCAGTAGAATAAACTGGACTGTAGCTGTCTGGGATTGAGTGTGAAGTCTTCCCCCACCCCATCCCTGCCACCTCTACCCCACACAATGGACAGACTCGAGCCCAGTTCCTTCGTCTGGACTTTATTTTGGAGCAGCTGTGGGGCAGAGAGAGGGAATAGGGAGGGTCGAGTCCTGGAGAGTCGCTGAAGCTGAGGTTGCCATTTGGCCCCAGGGCAACGCATGGCCTAAGGAGTGGTACCGTAGTAGCGGCTGTAGGCGTTCTGGAGGCCGATTTGTTCTGCTAGCTCATCACAATCGGGGTTGAGCTCACACACCTCCCTCTTGGGCTCCAGGGGATCTGGGTAGGGGGCTGGGGCTCTGAGAAACACCATGCAGCGGCATCAACCAACACGGGGTACACACCCTCTTCCCACTGTAAGAGAAGCTCCAGGGCCCTGGGCATCGGGGGATCAGCCTGCACTGTGCAGCCCGCAGAGTTCATGGAGGCCACCCCAGCACAACTCACACTCCCTGCCAGCACCTCCTTCCCACTTACCCAAGCCCATTGTTCAGGTAGCGCCGGGGCCTACTCACTACCTTACTGCCCTCCTGCTTGGACACGAAGGCTGTGGAGCAGAGGGACAGGATCAGGGAACTCTTGGGTTTGGGAGGGAAGGTGGGGACAGCCAGGTAGAAGGCAAGGGGAGCTGGGGGCTCAGGGGACAGGGTGAGGGGCAGGGCTGAGGCTTCCTACCAGTACCTCTGTCAGACTCTGAGCCACTGGGCTTTGCATCTAGAAAGAAAATAGTGTGCGTTGGCTCTGCTCTGTTCCAAGCCTGCCTCCCTGGGGGTTGGTCCCTTCCCTTCCACCGTCCCAAAGCAGGTCCCAGAACCTGAGGAGTGTAGTTACCCACAGAAATGAAGGAGGACACGCACCTGCTGGGCCAGAGAGGCAGAATGCAGCCAGGGCCAGCAGAGTGAGCAGAGAGAGGGTCCTCATGGTGTCTGCCACCTCTGCGCTGGGGGAGCGTATGGGGCTTGTCTGCTCTGAGCCCTTGAGCCTCCAGGACCATTTATATCCACTGCCCATGCCCCCGGTGTGAGCAGGCGGGGCGGGGGATGCTGCCAGGACTAATTGGGGGGTCATGTGCTCTGACTCAGGAGGTCAAACCCAAAGGATGCTGTGGTTGGGGGTTGCAGCTTCCTGGGCAAGGCCCTGGGAGTGGAGTGCGGGCTACAATCAGAGGCTGCCAGACTCTGGCACTGCCCCAGATCTCTTCCCCCGGGGACAGCCCCACCACCCCAGTCTCTATCCCAGGCTCAGCTGGAGCACTGACTGGGCTCTGAGTATCCTAGAGATGGTGCAGAGGTCTAAAATAGGTTTGGGACGAACTGCACTTCAGGTCTCATAGCCTGTGATTTCCGATGTCTGCCACGAGGGCAGGAGCCAAACCCCAGGGAAGGAGTGGCCAGTCCTGTCCTCATTTGCCCAGTGCAGGGCAGCTCAGCTCAAGTGGGCAAGGGTGGGTGCTGCTTAGTTTTATGTCAACTTGAAAGGAGGAAGCCTCAATTGAGACAATGCCTTTGTAAGACCTGGCTGTAGTGCATTTCTCAATTAGTGATCAATGGGGGAGGGTCCAGCCCATGGTGGGTAGTATCACCCCTGGGCAGGTGGTCCTGGGTTCTATAAAAAGCAGGCTGAGCAAGCCATGTGGAGCAAGTCAGTAAGCAGCCCCCTTCATGGCCTCTGCATCAGCTCCTGCCTCCAGGTTCCTGCCCTGACTTCCTTCGATAAACAGTGATATTGAAGCATAAGCCAAATAGAATACACCCTTTCCTCCTCAAGCTGCTTTGGTCATTGTTTTATCACAGTAATTAGTAACCCTAGCTAGGACAGGTAACACGGGATATGGGCCTGAGAGTCAAAGGCTCACAGACCTAGGCTGACAAAGGTAAGGACTGCTGCTTCAATTCTGACGCAGTACCAAACACAGACCAGGGAGGTGGACTCTGGGCAGATCTGCAAGGTGCACAGGGCGGAGTGTAAGTCCAGGTCCTGACCCTGTGGCTTCCATCCTGCCGCATGGCCTCCCCTGCCAGGTACTCCAAAGACCTGTCTTCACAGGGACAGCAGCCTAGCCTAACCGTCTCCCAGTCTGGGTGGGGGTGGAGGTGAGGAATGAGAAGGTGACCAGGTATTGTGACCTGTCTGACCTTTTTTTTTTTTTTTTTTTTTTTGAGATGGTCTCAGGATGTGACCCAGGCTGGCCTCAAATTCAGTGATCTGCCTGCCTCTGCCTCTGCTTCCAGAGTGCTGGGATTAAAGACCTGTTACACCTACACCTGTCCCTGACCTGTCTTCAGCCACCTAGCCACCAACTTGAATTGAGAATGGGGACAGGATGACTCGGGCAGGTAAGCAGGAAGCAGAGCCTCTGGAAGCATAAACTTGGAGCTTTCTGGAGAGTGGCTGGAAGAAGGGGTGCCCAGGCTCAGCCATGGGGGAGGGGGCAGTGCAGAGGTCACTGTGGTGTCCCATGTCCTCGGAGAGATCCACACAAGCAGGGTTAAGGTGAGGCTTGCAGGCAGAAGAGGATGTCTATCCCTCCCACTGGTGGTCCTGGCTGTGAAGAGTCAGGAGGGAGAAACAAGATAATGAGCTCAGTTATCCTAGAGGTCTCAATACATTCTCTGCTCCAGAGAGCAGCACAGGGCAGCCCTGGCTACAGAGACAGCTCATCCTCACTGGGGAACCCAATGGTCCTGGGTCCTGCTGCTGTCTTCACGGGGTGATCAAAACAACCCACTCCTCGGCCTGTAGGCTTCCAGAGCCCTCAGATTGATGTCTTGACTGCAGATAGAGCTCAGGAGCTCAGAAGTGGTTCTGACCCCAGACGCCTGGCGAGGAAGTATCTCACAGATTACAGTGTGGTAGAGGAAGTTTATTTACAGATGTGGGAGAACATGGCAAGGGCCCTTGGGCTAGCCAGCAAGGCAGCAATCAGTGCATACTGAAAACACTATCCCCAGTCCAGTCCAGGGAGGGCTGGGGAACCAGGAGGGCGTGGGGGCAATGCCAGCTGCAGCTCCAGGAGACAAAGCCTGGTGTCTGATGCCCAGGGTGGAAGTGCCAGCCCTCCAGGCAGAAGATGGCAGGAGTCTGAAGGTGGTGTGTAGGTGACCCCACCAGAACCTAAGCAGTGGGGGTGGAGACCTGGCTCCACAGGCCCTCCTCAGGCTCTCCCTCCACAGGTCCTCCTCAGGCTCTCCCTCCACAGGCCCTCCTCAGGCTCTCCCTCCACAGGTCCACAACTGCCCTCTGCTCTGGGCCTAGTGGCTCCTCACTCAGGTGCCCTCAGCACTGAAAGCAGCTCCCTCTGCTCTCTGTGAAGAGCCTGAAACCAAAGAAGAGAACAGATGTGTGGGGTGGGAGGAAGCAACCCTCGTGTGCCAGGCCCCTTTCTAGCCCAGGTCCCACTGGAACAATGGACGGGCCTGTGGCTCCTGTCACTGGTCTTGCAGAATGTGCCAGGACAGAGACAAGTGGGGAGTCCCTACCAACCCGTACGTATTTATGGCCATCGGGATGCCCAAGCCACCTCTGCTGGGCCTCTCCAGAGCAGAATCCATGCTCAACAAGGACTCCCAAGTGACTCCAGCTCCTTTGCCTTCACTGGAGAAACTTTCCCAAGTGCAGAAAGTGGAGCCCAGGGCATGCTGGGTAGTGCTCAGTCACTGAGGCAGTGAGAGGCATTGAAGCTCCCACACGGGTCAGCTGTGATCATCTGATCCAGCGACCACAGTTCAGACAAGGCTAGGGTAGAACTGGGCTGGAGCTGTGGCTACAGGGGCAGAGCTGACAGGTTTGGGGACCACGGTTTGGACATCTGTTATCCAGGGGCATGGGGAGCTCAGGAGCCTCCTGGGGATGGAGAGGTTGAGTGTTCAGCAAGCTGGCTCCAAGCCCTAACGACCAGCACTGGGAGACCTCTACTGCTACCTGTCTGAGACTAGGGCAGGCTGCAGAGGAACCTGGGAACCGTGATCCTCAGAAGCGGCTGCCCAGTGTATCGGGCACAGACTGGGCATCTATACTGCAGATGAAGAGGACCTAGCAGGAACACTGCCACGTGGGCCCGCTTGAGACCCTTAAGAGCCACTCAGAAGTGGTCTCACCACTCCAGGCATGTCTACCACCTGCACCACCCAGCTCCACTACCTCAAAAGTCCCTTGGGACCAATTTCAGAGCTGACTTTTCACACAAGGCATACACACTTGCTGGCACATGCTTCCAAGCACCCGAGCTCTGCAGAGTCCAGAAGAAGGGGACAGATCCCTTGTTACCAGAGTATGACAGTTGTGAGCCACCATTGTAAGTGACAGAACTCAAACCCTTGTCCTGGAGAACAACTCCTTAACGTTAACTCTGGGGTCCTTGTGTCGCCTGCTGTTTAAGGGCACTGGCCGGGCCTGCATGCTGCACCCCAGACCTCAGAGCACGGACTCCGCGTGGACCAAGGCCAGGCTCTTGCCCTCTGCATTCACTTAGCAGCTGCAGCTGCGCAGGACCATGAGCTGGAGCTGGAAGTCAACACAAGCACGGAGGAGCCGGCCCCGCACGTCCAGCAAAGGCGCTGAGGGACTGCACTGCTATGGGCACAGCTGGCTCCCCACGGGAGAGAGGAAGCCACCAACCCAGGGGGCCTGAGACAAGAGGAATAGGCAGCCAAACACTTGCCTGCCACGCCTGCTGGAGGGCCCGAACCTGCTGCTGCATTTCTTCCACCTGCCTGCGCCCGGCCACAACAGCATCAGCTAGTTCCTGGTTCCTGGCCTCCTGCTTCCGCACTCGGCGACACAGGGTGTCCCGTTGCTGCAGGAAGTAGGGTGCCATGACACTGCACAGGTCTTTCTCTGGGATTCCACTGGGTCGCCTGAGGGAGAAGGGCGGCACAGGGAGGGAGGAATGTTAAGTACAGGAGGCTTCTACTGCTAAGCCCAACCAGTAACAGCCCTACTCAAGTTGGCTAGGACTCTTCTGGGTCCCTTCTACCTCCCAAACCTGCTCCTGATGGGAACTGTGGCTTCCTGACCCTCAGCCTCCTTGCTACAGGCCACCCCCAGGTCTCCTCACTCAGCTTCCCCATGAAATCTGCTCTTCCAATCACCCATCTCAAGCGGCCTAGAAGTCAGTGGCTCTGCAGACCTTGCCTCTGTCCTTAAGACCATGTGTCCACGCTGGCGCATCACCCCAGCAGACTGAGTTAGGGAGATCAGAGTGATCTTTCCCAGATTGGGTGGCTCCTCAGAGAGGTCGCTGCCTCTCAGGAGCCCCGTGAGAGCTATTAAGTATAGACAGATCAGGGAAGGTGTTTTAGGGAATAAGATTAGTCAGTGAGCAAACACTACTGTAGGTTCTTCTACAAATTCCTTTCTAGTTATAAAACTTCAGCTGTCCTCTGACCCCTACACATGCCCTGTGGCATACACCCCCAAAGAATAAATAAATAAATGTAATTTTAAAATTTGAGGTGTCCCCAGAAGAGAGAACCCTGAGCTAGGAGGTGCCACGCTGGTTCCCTGGGGTTCTCTGGGTTGAGTGAGCCTCTCAGACAAGCATCCACTTGGTACTTTACCTGCATGGAGCTACCCTCCTAGATGGCGGGCCACCTCTCTGACAGCCCATCATAGGGAGGAGGGCCACAGACACTAGTCCAGGTAACATGATGATCCCTAGCCTCCCATCCTCACTTGTCTGTCTATCATGAGCCATGATATAATCATGAATTTCTTTAAGGACACAAAAGTGGTCCATAGCAATCCATAGTACCCGAGAGGCTAAGGCAGGAGGATCAGGGTTCACAGCCTACAGGCCAGTCACGGTGGCGTACTCTTTGATCTCGAGAAGATCTTTATGACTTCTAGTCTACACTGTCAGTTCAGACCAGCCAGGGCTACATAGGTCCTGTCTCAAAACAAACACTTCACAGGCTACGGCTGGAGACATGGTTCACAGGTAACGATTCCCAGCACTACATGGAGACTCACAACCGTTGGTAACTCCAGATCTGCTGCCCTCTTCTGACAGACAGGGCATGAAAGCAGTACAGACACAAGCGCAGACAAAACACCCATATACAGAAAACAGATCAATCTTAGCAACCGCAACAAAAGCACAGCCGACCTGAACAACTGAGTTCAAGGCCAATTGACGGAACTTTAAAAATGGCTTTTATTTTACAGCCATTTTTGCCTGCCTATGTATTACACCACATGAGTGTTGGTGCTGGTGTAGCCAGAAGAGGGCATTGCATTCCCTAGAGTTGGAGTTAAGGATGGCTATGAGCAGTTACATGGTGCGGGAACCACTGAGCCATCTCTATGGCCCCCAGCTGAGGGAACTCAGTGAGACTCTGTATCAAAATAAAATGTAGAAAGAGGGCTAAGGCAGTAGAATTCTGCCTGGCATGCCCAAGCCCTACGTTCAGTGCCTGATACGATAGAGTAATTTTAAAACGGTATACGCCAGCTGTAGCCTGGGAGCTGTGAGTGAGGGCAGGGCAGGAAGGACAGGAAGTGGAGGCTCCTGGAGCCCAGGCCACTCTGGTCACGATGGCCTCCTGCCCTCTGCTCTGTGCCCCAGTCGCACCTCTTCCTCGAGCACACGGCCGTCCAGACAGGCGCCTGTTCAGGGAAATGCCGGCTGTAGAGGGCCGCTTGTGCAGGACTCAACCTCTGGCCTCCGCAACCACACTGAGCACATAGTACGTGCTTACTTACGTAAGTGTCTGCTGCATAAACACGTTAATCAAAGCCATGCCCCAGGTGACCTGATCCGTCCAGGAAGCCAAATTTCACTACCTGGTGTCCTCCCAAAGACCCAACTTCCATTTGCTTCCCCGGGGGTCCCAAGAAGGCCTCAAACTGTTCTGTTCCAGAGGCCAGGAGTCCAGGAACTCAGATACAGTGAAGTGGTCTCCTTGCAGACCCTGAGACACCCTGATAGGTACCCTCTATGCACTCTCACCAGGCCGGTTCTCCACGGGCTTTGCCTTCTTCTACAATCTTATCCAGGGAGTTCAGGACAGCTTCTAGGTTCCCTTCCTCTTTTATTTCTGAGATTTCCTCCTGGGCAGAAGGGAAAACAGAGCTGTGATGACTTCATGCATGATCTCAGAGGAAATATGCTGAGCTGCTAACAGCACTTAGGAAGGTTTTGGCCAATTTTCTCTACAATGTGTGGTTTTTAGAATGAACGCAAGGAAATATAAGACAGCAAACACTGAAAAAGAACCTGTACATTAGGAGTGGAGTGGTAGTAGACACCTCTGATCCAGCACTCCAGAGGCAGCGACAAGCATGTCTCTCTGAGTTCAAGGCTACACAGTGAGAACCTTCTCAAGAAGGAAAAAAAGCTCACATGATGTTCCTAGAACGTCAGCTGTCTGCACCATTGCTCCAGGATGGCCTTATTAGCAACAGGTACTGCCTCCAGAGTCCTGGAATTAAAGGTGTGCCACCAAGCAGTGCAATCATCACAGTAACTTAGACATGTGGAGCAGAGCCCGGTCCTTCTGGCATTCCTAGCAATACTCAGTTTATCAAGTGCCTCTTCAGAAGCTGGAGGTGCAAAGAGAATGAAGCCTGTCTGACCCTGGTGGAGCAGAGCTCACGCTGCCTTGCTGCCAGATAACTTATAAACACAGTTATATTACAGGATGACGAGCAAAGGCAGCATTTAAGACATGTACTGACCAGGTGGTGGCGCACACCTTTAATCCCAGCACTCAGGAGGCAGAGGCAGGCGGATCTCTGTGAGTTAGAGGCCAATCTGGTCTACTGGGTGAGTTCCAGGACAGCCTCCAGAAGCTACACACATTGTTCAGAGGACGAGGGTACCTGGTGCTGCAGCTGCTGCACCGGATGGCAGCTGAGCAGACAGGGACAGCAAATAGGCTGCCATCTTTAGGGAGCTGAGCGCAGAGTGAAACCCAGCCAAAAAGGACCTCCTTGCCATTGGTGCCACTCACCCGGATGGATGTCTGTAACTGAGCCACAAACTTGTCATAGACCCACTTCGTCACCTCAGGATCCAACCGGTGGAAGTGTCTGTAACAGTTGGTGAATCTCTCGTAGCTGTCAGGAAGGAGACAAGCAAACTTAGGGTGACCGGACCCCAGCTAGTCACCTCTGTGTTTATTACAAGACTCAGGTTTGTCACTGAGACCCAGGTAATGGCTATGGGTGCAGATCTGTCTTCAAGTAACAGATAGGCTGCTTCTACTCCAAACTAGGGCTCTGGCAACATATACAAATGGGCTATGGGGCTGGAGATGCAGTTCAGTTGGTAGAGGGCTTGCCTAACATACATGAAGTCATGGTCTGACTCCCAGTACTGCATAAAACCAAGAACACACTTGTACTCCTAGCACTTGGGAGATGGAGACCAGAAGGTCAGGAGTTCAAGGTCAACCTCAGCTACACAGTAAATCCAAAACCAGCCTAAGTTACATGAGACCCTGCTGAAATAAATACACATAGAAAATCAAGGCAGGTCATTGTGGTGGTTTGAATGTCTTAGTGTTCTATCGTTGTGAAGAGACACCATGACCAGACACAAGTTTTATAAAAGAAAGTATTTAATTTGGGACGCATGGTTCCAAAGGGTAGGACTCCATGACCATCATGGTGGGAAGCAGACAGCAGAGAGAGAGTGAAAGACATGGGACCTGGTATGGGCTTTTGAAACCTCAAAGCTGCCGATGGTAGTGGCCTGAAATCCCAGCAGACCTGGGTGAGTTCCAGGATAGTCAGGACTACACAGAGAAACCCTGTCTCAAAACAATATGCTCCACAAAAACCTTCAGCGTCTACCCAGTGCCACGCCTCCTAATCCTTCCCTAACAGTTCCACTAACTGCGGACCAAGCATTCAAGCACGGAAGTCTATGGGGCCACTCTCACTCAAACCACCCCAAAGGCTCCTAGTCGGCAGAACTGTGTGAGAAGGAGAGGAGGAGCTCTGTCACTGCGGGTGGTGGGCACCAGTCTCTCACTTCTTGCTTGTGAGCAGGATGTAAGCTCTCAGCCAGCTATAGGAGCACCGTGCCTGCATGCCTGCTGTCACATCCCTGACACATGGCCATGAACTCCAACCCTCTGAGACCGTGAGCCCAAGTTAAATTCTTTTATCAGTTGCTTTGTCACAGCAACAGGAAAGTAACTAAAACTTTATTCAACCTCAATGACCTCTTTTATTCATTTTATTGTGTACATTTCAACAGGGTCTTGTGTAGCTTAGGCTATCCCCCATCCCACCCCCTGCCCCTCGAGAACAAGCATGTGGCATCTATCTCTCTGGGTCTAGTATACCTTTTCTTTTTTGTGGGGACAAATCCTAATAGCCAGTTCCTGCTGCTGGATTGTTTCTTCATCTGCCTTTCAAGGGGAAGAAGCTTCTCAGCTCTGAGAAGCCAGATGGCTGATGGCATCAGACCCTGCAGTACGGGGCAGTTTGGGGAGGCTTCTGAGTGTGAGGCAGGCATTAGTGCTTCAGAGATCAAGAGCACTCCATCCGTAGAGCAATCCGGACAGCACAGATGCGGCTGTTCCCCTCAAAGGAGGACGAAACAAGGCTTATGGAAGTGAAGAGGTTGCCTGGACCACCCAACCAAAGATCTGTGGAGGCAGGACTTGAACCAGGCAGGGTCCTTACAAGCCAGCACGCTTTCCTAGTGCAGAGCTGGCTGGCCTCCTGTGTACACTGAGAAGGTCAAGGTCAACAACCTTTGTCGTGAGGAGAAAGGAAACACAGAGGGGCCATGGGGGCTTGAGTGGAAGCACTCCACCATCCTAGCAGACCTGAGGTCCAGGGTGGGGGAGGCAGCTAGGAGTGGAGCAGGCCAGCAGTCAAGCAGCCTGGGCCACACCCCATCTCAGTTGCCTAGCTTTCAGATTCCATACTGTTTTGTCGCTAACACTGCTGTGGGGCACCCAGGCTCAAGCACCCCTTTCCACAAGGATATTACAGTGTTTATAAGATAGTATAATTTTATGTTTGGCCAACACATGGCCATGGGCATTTTCTAAAACATCACTTTCCTTCCCTGAGTGTAGTTTTCAAGAAATCCACAAGTGTTCGTTCCAGCCATTTCCACACTGGCACTGGCTGATGAAATCACCCAACATCGAGGTAGAGAGGGAAGGAAGGAGGGAGGGAAATAGTGAGGGAGAGAAGAAGGGAGAGAGAGGGGGGAGAACCCATATCCCAGGGTCTTCCTGTGCTGTTAGTGTTGGTGCCTGGTCTATCTTCCTGACTAGTTTGGCAACCTGGGACTCCGTAGAAAAATGTCTCTTCTTGTGAAATGAGCATGTTTCTGGGTCCTTCATATTTAAGGGATTCTCAATAACAGGAACCCCAGAGAGTTCTCAAGTGACCCTTGCGGTCCTCCTTTGGCCCTGTCCACTAGTGGAGCTGAGGAGAGATGTGCCCGGCTCGACCCGGATGCCTGAGTGGGCTGTGGAAAGGAACAGGATCTCTGATGTTTAAGCCACAATTACCCATTTCAATTACAGCCCACTTGGGCAGCGTCATGTGTCCCTTCGAGTACCTCTTGGTAGCCACAGACTGAGTGGCTGGTGAGACTGGCAGTAAAACAAGATGCCTGGAACTCTGCTGTGGGCTGTGGGCTGGAGAGCTTCCCAGCATCTGTCCTTTGACTTGCCCTTTTGAATCTGAGCACAATCACTAAGACAAAAGTTCACCCTTAGATGGCGGGAGTCTGTCACATAGCTCACTGCCACGTTCAAGTGAGCATGTGCTTGCTGCCATCTCTCCCTCCCTACTGGCAGCTGCCGGAGGCTAGACCCACTGCTTAGTGGGTCACCAATTTATACCCAGAGAATAAGTTCATCTTGAAGGAAAATGGTCTAAGAGAGAGACAGACATGAAAACAAAGGAAGACTGTGGGTGTGGCTAAGAAGGAGAGTGTGCTTAATGCTTGAGGTCCTGGCTTCAACTGGGGTAGGAAAGGGAAGGCAAGGGCTCTCCACCTAAGCCAAGAAGCCATGGGAATACAATAAGTACTCTTTGAGTGCACATGTGTGTTGGTGCACTATGTGTGTGCATTCATTCACATGCACGCGCATGTGTGATGTAGGGTGTCTTCTATTACTGTCCTTTCCCCCCCTTTTTTGACATTTTGCTATTTTCATTTTATATGTATGGGTGTTTTGCTTGCACATATGTCTGTGCAATACATGCATGCCTGTTGCATAGAGGCCAGAAGAGGACATTGGGTGTCCTGGAACTGGAGTTGCAGACAGTTGTAAGCTGCCACATGGGTGCTGGGAGCCACACTTGGGTCCTTTGTAAGAGCAACAAAGTCACCTCTCAGTCTACTTGTTTGTCTTTTACAGTCTCTCTATGTAGCTCACACTGCTCTCAGACTTCGGGGCTTCAGTGATCCTTCGGTCCAGCCTGAAGAGCTGGAACTATAGGTGATACTGCAGGACACATTCCAACACGACTATCAGAGCAGCTAGGAGAGTGGTTTCCTGGCATGCATAAAGCCCTAAATTCAATCCCAAACTACACAGACCAGCTGTGGTGGGACAGGCATATATAATCCCGGTCACCAGGAACTAGAAACTAGAGGATCGGGGTTCAAGTTAACTCTCAGCTACATGAGGAGTTTGGGCCAATCTGGGATACGTCACCCTTCTATAAGAGCGACAGAAAACCAGAATAGTATACAGCTATAAAAAACAAATCATTGAGGACAGGCATTGGTGGTCCACGCCTTTAATCCCAGCACTCGGGAGGCAGAGGCAGGCAGAGCTCTGTGAATTCGAGGCCAGCCTGGTCTACAAGAGCTAGTTCCAGGACAGCCTCCAAAGCCACAGAAAAACCCTGCCTCAAAATCTCCCCCCCCAAAAAGATTTATGTATTTGTTACATATGTAGTGTTCTGCCTGCATGTGTGCCTGTGCACCAGAAGAGGGCACCAGATCTCATTGTAGATGGTTGTGAGCCACTTTCTGGTTGCTGGGAATTAAACTCAGGATCTCTAAAAGCACCCAGTGCCTCTTAACCTCTGAGCCATCTCTCCAGCCCTTTTTTGTTTTTTAAAAATAGTATGTTGCTATATACTGCAGGCTTCAAACTCACTGTGTAATTGAAAATCTGCTTTTTCTTTCTTTTTTTTTTCCATTTAGATTTTTTGAGACAGGGTTTCTCTATGTAGCCCTGGCTGTCCTGGAACTTACTCTGTAGACCAGACTGGCCTTGAATTTAGAGATCCACCTGCCTCTACTTCCTGAGTGCTGGGATTAAAGGCGTGGGCCACCACCTTCTGGCTCCAACTTTTGAGTGTTGGGACCTAAGTATGTACTAAAGATGCTTTCTCTTAAGACACAGGGCTTCAAGGGCTGGAGATATAGCCCGAGGGAAGAAAACTTGCTCAGTCTGCATAAGGACAGCACTGCCAAAAGCAAAAGAAAGTTTTTGCTTGTGTTTCTGAGACTGCCCTCAAACTCCTGGGCTCAGGGGATCCTCCTGCTTCAACATAAATCTTAAAAAACAAAACAGAGTTGAGTAGTGGTGGGGCACACACCTTTAATCCCAGCATTGGGAGGCAGATGGATTTCAGTGAGTTTGAGACCAGCCTGGTCTACAAGGCAAATTCCAGGACAGCCAGGACAGTTATACAGAGAAACTGGGTCTTGGGAAAACAAAACAAAACAAAAAAACCAAACCTAAACCAAAACAGAATTAAAAAACAAAACAAAACAACAAAAACCCACATAAGTAGGGGCTGGATACGGCTCAGTAAGAGGACTGGCCTTTCTTCCAGAGAACCCAGGTTCAATTGCCAGCGTTCCACCTCTAAGAGACATGACACCCTCACACAGACATACATGCAAGCAAAACACCGATACACATGAAAGAAAAATAAGTAAATCAATCGTAAGTGAACGGCTGATTGTGGTGCATACACTTTTAATAACCCAGCACAGGAAGGCAGATCTCTAATAGCTCCAGTTCATCCAAGGCTTCACAGTGAGACTATGTCTCAAAAACAAGACAACAATAAAAACATAAATACATGGGAAGTCCTGAGGAGAATATAGTGGGTAA